CACACACACACACACACACACACACACACACACACACACACACACACCTGATCTCCTCCTCAACATCTCCCGAGAGGTAGTTGGCTCTGGTCTGCTCAGCAGTGTAACTCCGGTTGTTGAAGATCTGATCTCCGTCCCTGGAGAAGGCCTGGTTACAGTGCTGAGGAGGGTTTCTGGCCTGCATCACTCTCCGAGCATCTGTTCGATTCTACACCACGCATAAAGTGCACACGCAGCATAAAAAACAAAACTCATGTCACTGCACCTAATATGTTGTCCACAAGATGTTTTACAACTTAGTAGTCATTTACATCTAAAACAAATGATGGCTCATGAAAATGCTGAGTGGATAGTAACTTCAGCTACAGAGACAAGCAGTTACCTTAATGAGTAGAATGCTCTCAATCCCCCTTTGATCAATCAAGCAGTTGGCCACAACTGGGTCCTCAATTTCTAGAGCTTGAAGCACGGAGGGGTATTCAGGGTGATTGACGGCCCTGACAAGAAGACCAAAACCACCGTTGCTTAAGTGATACTTCATGCAAAATGTGTCCCTGAAGTAACAGACTAAAACTAACAGGTTTGATAACAGGTAATGCATTACCAAAACTGCACCAGCGTGTGAATATTGTCCATGAGCTCACCTCGATCTTGTATCGTGGACTCTTGAAAGAAAATTGCTGGTGATGATGGCAGGTCTCCGGCCAGTTGGGAACATTTTGGACATGAGGCCCTGCAGCACCTTCTCATCCTCGTGGTTATCACAAGTGAAGGCCTGCAGTTGCCCTTTAAGACAGACTTCGACAGACAAGGCTAGCTCTGGGTCCTTCAGGCTAATGAGGTAACCTGTAGAGGGGAAGGACATGTGAGAAGAGAAAGCAAGTTAGAGGAGCATTTTTCACAGACGTCACCTTTACAGGTTTTAAGGAAGAATACATCTATATTACATATTTATCTTATTACACTGCCAGGCATGGTCACATTGGGTGTCTCATTAAGCATGATTTTGTGATTCAATAGGGTGAGAAAGGAATCAGGCCTGGAACATACAAATGTTAACCAAAGCACAACTGGGCACCGAGTCTTACCCAGAGGTCCTCGAGGTTTGTGCTTTAACTGGCCCCTTCTGTGAGCTTCATGGATGGCGTTGAGGAGTGCAGGCATGTGCTCTCCAAAACGCCGCAGGCGATTGGACCGACTGCTCTCCATAGTCTGCAGGTTCCTTCTGTTGGCCTCAATGGACCTCTTGAGCACTTCCTGCTCTTTACTGAGGACAGAAGGGGGCGGGTGTTACTGTTTCAGATATTCCACTGCCTTAACAGACTAATTAATCTGTTTCTAATTGGGTTTATTTAGGACTGGCAGGGAGCT